CACACACATCCGGCAACACACAGATTTGCTACCAACAACAGCAAACAACAACAACCAACACGAACAACAGCCACACACAGATCTACCGCTTCTCCGATTCCCTCAACATCGATCTGCACAAACCACCGCTGAGCCACACACCCATTTCACTGTAATTTCCTCGTCCACCCAACTGTAATTTTTAGGTCACCACATCCACCAACAACGCTGCTACAACTGCAACAGCAGCGTCACAGCGACTCAACAGGTCAATAGCTGCGATTGCAACAACAGCGTTCTTTTAAGGCGGGTCGTCCAAGCACTCCATAATAGGCAGATCGGTTATCCACCATAAGGAATTCCAAAAAACGGAGAGCGGTCCGGGGTTCTACCCATTGCTAGGGTGATCTTGCCTCGAGGAATAATACTATCCCCTGTGAATCCATACAAAGAGGAGCTTATTGGGGTAAGCACGTGGTCGACTTTCTTCTTGTCAAAGGTAGTACCAAACAAGATATTCACTAAGCTTCCATTATCCACTAACATCTTTTTCAGGTCGTTGCAGGCCACGACGGCCCTTATCACTAGGGGTGGGCAAAACCCAAACCAACCCACGAAAATCGACCGACCCAACCCAACCGGGTTGGGTCGATTTTTTGGTGTTTTTAGGCGGGTTTCGGGTAGTAGGTTAGACTATCGGGTCGGGTTGGGTCGGGTTGTGGGTTCAACAAGATAACCCGATAGAACCCAAACCGACCCAACCCGACCAACGTAAAAAAAATTTAAAAAAAAAAACCGACTAAATATAAAAGGGAAAGAAGCTTATAATTTTCAGTTCTTCACTTCTTTTCTCTACTGACTACTATGTATCCTCCCACCGTACACTACATAGAAGCCATAATCTTTCAGCACTTGAAGATTAGGCAATGAATCAACCAACCAATCATCTAAATCTATCATCTCCTCCTCCTTCTAGTTCCCACACTAAGCTAGAGTACTCTCGTCCTTTGATTTTCAGCACTTGAATATTTGTCCAGAAAGGCAGGTTCGTCCAGAAAGGCGGAGTTTATGTGACTCAAAGGTAAATCTATTCTATCACTTACCCGATTCACTTATCACGAAAATTTGTTGTGATCTTGCGATATCTTTCTGGTTCTTGTTTGGGATGTGCGTTTATGGGAAGTGTAAATAACAATGTCTGTTTCTATGTTTTATTTGGCAGATTGATGTCTATAGGAAGACTGGAATATCGAAATTTAGTTCGTTTAAGAATTTGTTGTTTTCTATTCTGATAGGGCCCTGAAAAAAGTATTTGATGGTAGCTGAGTAATTTTGAGCTGTTTCACCATTCTTGATCATTTGAAAGCGTGCTAATGCTTGGATTTGAACTAATTTCGCAACTAGTTAAAGCAGAAAATGTGGTTTAAAAGTTATTGAATGAAAATTAAGAAGTGAAAAAGCCCTCTTATTATTATATGTTATTTTGTTCTGTTTGAAAGCGATCCATGTGAGGAGCTTCTTTTATGGGAATCTTCTTTTCTTGGTTTTTGCCTTTCCTATATCTTTTATTTACTTTGTTATTAAGGTATAGAATGACTTTTTCTCAAAATACTCATTCTTCTGCTCTTAATTATGCTTGCAGATGGTGATATTTAAATTCAAGCCAATTTGATCTGAT